TATAAGCCAGAATACTTTGAAAGTTTTGTCGGAATGTGTATTAGTAAATACAAAAACCAAATAAATAACAAGTAAGGGGGAAATTGTATACAGTAATAAGATGTGCCTATGTTATTACAGTTGGTACAAAATATTAGTAATATTACTAATATATTTATTTGCTTATGCCTCTGAATTGCTATTTATTGAATTAAAACCGCTGTTTCAGTAATTTATTTTAAAATAAATTTAGTGCAAACAAAAAGGCTGATTTGAAAAAAAATTAAGACGGAGAATACCGTTTCTTTACTGTTTTTCGTATGGGAAGGATCGACTTTTTAAAGTTAGGTAATAATTCTGACCATATGAGCTATTGAATATCATATTGATGATGATGATACGAACTGGCTGATGGGCTATTTCATTATACATAGGCAACAGCTATCAGCCATGTCATAATAAACCGCTCCAGACTAGTCGTCACGCGTAAATACTAGTTTTAATAAGCGTGTCCTTTTCAGAACTAATTGATTATTTCCGCAGTAGGATATACCCGTAACAGTTTGCGTGTTGGCAGATAAAAACATATTGTCGAGGAGATGTTCCTTTGAAAAATTCGCTACGGCTGATAAGCAAAGTGTAATGGATATTTTTGGTCCAAAATTTGTGTGCATATAACACAGATTCTTCGACATTCGCCCTACAAACTAAATAGTTGTTTTTGAGCCGAATAATAAATTGTGGATAAACACTATTTAAGATGACGCTACGAACGAAGTTTTCTTTTTTCAAAGTAAAATTTTCAAATTGGCTCAAATATTTCGTACGAAGTCAATCGACTGTGAAAGAAACTGGAGCGAGACGTAACGTGTCCATAATTAACTACCTACATCCATAATTAACTAGAAAGATGTGTTATTTGCAAATGTAACGCAATTAAAATATACAATGTATAAGAAATAGTTTTCACACACAATTTTCGTGACGACGGAGAGTCGTTGTAACATGAAAAATAAATGACGAATAATAAATCAAATGTTACGTATAAACGTAAATTTACTATCGTACAAGCTAAATGCATTAATTATTATCTGTGAAACAAAAGAAATAATTTTATAGCGCCTCGAAACAAGTTTCCAACGTGGACGAGTGAACATGTGATGAACGTATAACGTAGATAAGATTTATTTCATTTCACGAGAACCGTTCGTCTAGGCTTAGACGGTTCCCGTTTAGTTCGCAGACGTCATTTTATCAGCAATTAAAACAAACATTACACAACAATGAACTGAACACCAAGGTTTACCACGCGTTGGCTATCTGCCAAGTTTCCAAGTCTGTCTGGACGATCGAAGTTTGTAATGTTCCTGGTGAGTTTTGCCATTGTTTTACAGTAATTAGTTCAGAGCAAACAGTAAAAAAGGGTTATTAATAATAGCACAAAACTCTTTCATTTTAATAATAAACAAATCAACATTCACGAGTGCCTTCGCTACATTACATTTCATGTTAATCTATTGTATTTTTTTTTATTTATCTGCTAATTTTTTTTACTCGTGTTTGTTTATTGGGTGGTATTAAAAAAATAAAAATTAATTGTATTATATATTTATAAATTGATTCATTCGCCAAATATCTATCTCAGTGTATATCTTTAAAAGTGAACATTGCTGCTGCCTTGATCTTGTCTGGACTTTGGTTATGTTTAGGATGATATAAATGAAGGATGCATGAATAAAGATAAAAAAGCGTAAACGTGATATTGCATATTTACAGTGTTGAGATAGAACAGAAATAAATATATGTTTAATCAATCGACGAATAGCCGATGATAAGTTTGCGATATGCATGTCTGACCAACACGTGTTTCTCTTCTATGACGTGTTAACGTACATATCGAAATTCTAGCTGCTACGCTTTCAGTTGTGGTTACGCTTCTATTTCTGATTCGACTAACATTTACATTATGACCAATACATATTTCACAAGATTTTACTTATGGTAGGGGCAGGGGAGTGTCCCCACGGGGTTCCACAAATGGTCAGATTCGTCCGTAAACAATATTCCCCCTAATATTGAGACCCTGAGCAGCAGACATGGGGTTGTCTGTCGCTCAATATGGTCAGGGGCGCTGTGCCAATTGTACCGGCACAGCACCATTTACAAGAGGAGGCCAAAAAAGGCCATAGTTGCGCGGGTGTCGCGGATTGCGTCTACGTGTTCCCCTCTCCCCGGCCTACGTGACAGAGACAGGAGCAAAGGGGAATCCCCTTTGCCTCTATAGGCTCCTATGAAGGACTTTTCCCACAATAAAAAGGTTCGTTCGGAAAATACCACGACCTCGCAAAAGAGCCGTTGGGAGTATTATTGGGAAGCGGAAGTATTATACTTTTTAAATTCTTTGGGCAAGTGAGGTAACCGGGGCCCACTCTCTTAAAGATTGGCAATATGTTGTTAATCCATAGCCGGCGATAAATATGTATAGTGTAATAATGTAAGAAATATCTTTTCCTCACTATTCTTATAATCTCTTCGAATGTAAGTGTAATGTTTGTTTTATGTTTGTTCTCTATGCAAAAGTAATAAAAACATTTTAAACATTTTATCTTCACATAGTAATGCAACGCATGCCGATTAATGCTAGATAGACAGGATAATGGCTCGAAAAGAAAGCAGTAAAGAGAAGGTGCTATTTAAGTATTTCACGTGACTATATACAAGCGATATAGCGTATAACATTATTGGCTATAACACAATGGATGTATTCAATCAGAGTTATTTCCATATATCAAAACAAATCATTAAAACGTCATGTGAATTTTACCATATGAACGGGAAGCGCTCCAAGGAGTTTCGCCAAATGATATTAAATGGTAGTCATGATTATTTTAAGAGACCATTATTGAAACCATTACGATGCGAGAATTAGAATCAATCACAATAAATGTTGTGTGTTGCAATAAATGTGTAGAATAAAAAATGTCTGTAGAATTCTATTGAATACTAATTCTATTGAACATAATCAGTATTATGGTTTAGTATGGTATACTGGTTTAGTAAAGTTTGGATGGAAACTAATTAATTGTTGCAATTTCATTTATGATAGTTTTTTTTTAGTTCCAAAGGCACCGGCAATTACATAGTAGTTCTTCCATCGTGAAACGGTTAAACCTAGATAAAAAAAATGTTTTTCATTCTTCCGTTTCATGTTATTCAAACAGAAAATTTAAAAGACTTCGTCTATTATCTACATAGATATAAACTTATCAGATTCATAGGGTATAAGTAAATTATTCGATAGTGTAACGTGAATTGTATTCCCCTTAATGAATTAATGAATGAATGAATATACTTTATTGCACACCAAAAATGAAACAAACAAAAATTAAAACTTAATGTAAAAGCGGTGGGTACAATGGGCGGCCTTATTACTAAGAGTAATTTCTTCCAGGCAACCCTTAAAATATGTTCGTATAAATTTCGTACTTACTTTTTTAGTATTAAGTTAAATTATGATTGGACTAGGCATCGCCGTCGTGTGTTCAATTCCCACGACACAGCTATTTGTGTGACTCATAGATAGCTATGAAATTTATGTGAGTTTAACGCTTTAAACACGCAATACAACGAAGTATATTCCTACAGTTAAGGCCAAAAAAATGTATCTAATGACAGTATAAAAGCTACTCTGTCAATGTCGAGTTCGAATGTAAAATACAATTATGCAGCAAATCGTTATTATGTAAGTATAATTGATGGAGTTAGAAATAAATCGAGGTCATTCGATTATGGGAACATTGGCTAACTGGACGGCTGCGATTGTGTTATTCGAATATGGTTACGATTTTATATGGAACATGATTTAGCTGTGCTTTTACTTCCTATATCTCTATTTCTAATTTAGATAAGAACGAACGTCTTACGGCCGGTTTCAATATTCTATCTACAGATAGATTTTGTTACCAGCGATATACCACATTACCTGAATAATACTTACGTCAAAATTCTGGCCGTAAGGGGGCGTAAGCGGGTCTTCAATTTAAATAAAACAAGTTTTGGGACGAACATCATAACGTAATTTCAATTCATATCGCTCATATATCAAAATTGCTTTATTATCTAATTCAGATATTCATTCTGCACTTTTGAGTATATATTGAGTTCAGTCAACATTATTTCAAATATTCTAACAACCTGTCGCGATCAAAAATTTTACCCCTCTCGAGACGGAAAAGCTCCGAAGAAAATTATCCGATTAAAAACTAATTAAGTAGTATCACTCCACATGTTTAAAAACACGCCATGAACCCACCTCTGACACAATCCACAATTGACTCGAAACAGGATAGGGTAGTTTTTGGTTTGACATTAAATCAACTGGAATTACTCGCTAGCTAAGTCGTTAATGTGTTTAATAAAGAATTTATGAAAAAAACCTTTTATGTCCCTGCAAGTTATCTAATCGGTGGATAATGATACCGATGTACGGAGCGTTGAGCAACGAAGCTTTGACGTCAAAGCTCCATTGGACCAATACTAGACAGTTTCTAGAATAAACCGTCTTTGCACGTTTTATCGTCGTTAGCAGACAATGTGTTGAATTGAAAATTAATTAGTTGACGACGCGATACGTTCCACTGTATCGCCCCAGGTAACCACTGGTGCAGAAACAGGGCATTATCAGTGGTACGTCGTTTCGTATCCATTCGTCTCAGACATGGTGGCATGCGGATCGCACATCACCACGAACCCACAACCGCTCACCATGGTTTTGATACCACTAGTCGGTTACACACATCGCTCAGTTGATCCACCGCAGGCGCGCGAAAAAGCCGTCGCGATTTGAATACGCCAACGCGGCGTACAGCTTTACCTGCTAACAAAGCGGGTAACAGCCGACAGTCTGTTGCAAGGGTGTGTCCGTTGTGTTCTTCCGGCGTCACCTGTAGGGGTGAAGTCTAGGGGTCTTGAATTGCAATTCGCGACGTCTGGGCTTCTGTAATTGCAAGTCGTGACGTCTAAGGGTCTGTAATTGCAATTCGCGCTCGGGTTAGGTGGCGCACGGATCCGCCGAGCAGGGGTGCTGGCGGGGTCGGCCACTCGGTGAGGTAACGGGAGTCGCGCCGGCGCGCGGCGCCGTGCCACAGTCTGCGGCGCTCGCACGAGAGCGCCGGCCGAGCGGCCAGTCGGCGCCAAAACGCGCGCCCGAGCGGCCCGCGTCGGCTCGCGAGCCCCCCCATGCCCTCCGCTCCGATCGCGAGCGCGATGAAGTGCAAGGAGGCCAACTGCGAGGTCGGCGCCGTCCTGGGCCGCGACTCCCTCATCGTGCTGTCCGTGGACAAGACCATCGTCTGCCTCTGCGGCCGCGTCAAGAGCGATCCGTTCGAGCGCGGGTAAAGCGGATTGTTGTGGTGCTTTGTCGCTGCGCTGCTTGTGAGCGACAGTGGCTTTGACGACGGTGACGCTTGTGAGCGTCAAAGCCACCGTCGGATTCTCGTGAAGTAATGTACAAGAGATTGTAGCGCCGCGGTCTGTTGTCGCTTCTACATTAATCCGTGAAGTTCCACAACGGTTTTTTGCGCTTGAGCCTGGCCGAATTGCAAGAACTTTTGAAATTTCGATTCTGCCCCGCGTGTCGTTTCGCGCTCGTAAGCGTTCGACGGCCGGCTAGCTGGTGCACCGCGATTTTACCGTTGTTTGTTATTGGGAATGCGTGGTATTCGAGTAACGCTTGACTTTTGTGTAGAGTCAACAGCGTCAACAGCGGCAAAGAGAAACCTGTTTGTTATTTAATCACAACACCTGTCAAGGCAGTCTCAGGTGGCTATCAAGGTGAATCTTAATTGGACATATCCCAGTCGCGATATTCGCGTATGGACGCGCTTGGTCAATAAATAAACGGCGAAAATCAAAGAGAAACAGGGAGGCTGCGCGTTAAAATTCGCAACGTCGACGCCTCTCCGCGTTGATTGGGTTCTGTCCGGCGTGCGATTCTATTTTAAAACCAGACAATTCTTTAGCGAGTCGGTACGAAGCAAATGGACAAAAACCCGTGCTGGAGCATAGTAGGAACTGATCGATAACCGTATAAAAGGCAAGGTCGTCGTCGGTCGTACAATGCCTCTGAAATTACTCGGAGCCTAGACGTTTCTGATTTCACCTGCGTCCGTCACGAAGACGCTCTGTCGAGTGAAATTGAATTGGCCATAGCAACGGACCGAACGGGAGTAGGCGGCTCGTTCCGTGATAGCAAATGCTTCTCTGTGTTCGCGAAAACGAGATTCTGCCGCGATTGAGATTTTCTACACTGAACCAGTTCACAGGCGCGCATGCGGAAGCCTCGTGAAATAACGCGAAACAGGTTACTGCTAATTCAAAAGTTTAATCTCGAAAGAAGGTTGTTTAATCGGGCGGAGTGTCAACCTTCCGTTTATATCAGTAACACGCTAACCCACACATACTCCCCACTGTATGTGTGCGTGATGACTTTCTTTCGTTTATATAACCACAATGCCGATGTGTACGTAAAAACCGACATGTACTTTATAAACAAAACCGTACCGAGAAACGGTTCCGTGGGCCCTGGAGAACAAAGTGGATGCAGAGTGAAATACGGCGCGCATCATCAGAATGATCAATCCAATTTCGACTGTCCACTATACTGAAGTGGCGTTATAATCGCATGTGTAATTTCTGTTGGCTTGGAACCGTTGGAAGCATTTACTCCTTGAGCTCAGTTGTCGTATGGTTCATTTTGGCCCTTATTGAGAAGCCAATTCGGAACATAATCCGATAAACAAAGGTCAGGTTGTAAAATTGCCGTCTCGACATATCAGGTTGTCAATCATGGCTTTTTTCATTCATAAATCTGATTAAATACCCAACTTTTTCTAAAGATTAGACTTTAATTTAACAGCAAAGTTAAAATAAGCTGTTATAAACGAGAACGTTGACTGTTAAATTACTTTGCCGAAAACCTCGAACAATGTACCGCTTAACATCGATTTGAATACTATGTGCCCATTATTAAAGTCACAACTACTCGAGACGTTCATTGAAAACGAAACCCTGTAGTGTTACAATAAGGTGCAAATTTGGAAGTTGCAAATATTTTTGCCGGTTTTGTCGTCACCTCAGACAGTTGTCAAACAAGTTTGCTATTGTGTCTAGATATAATTTTATTAACATTTTATTAGAGATTCGCTGAGCCGTTTTCGCAATTAACTATATTCTCTGGACGGAAATTTGCGAGAAATTTCTCTGAGTGCTTGTTTCACGAATCATCTAATATCAAAAAGTAGTAATAGATGTAACTTAGATATAGCCTTTGCTGCGGTACTATAGAAATCTTATTATAACATGGTGACGTTCAGTGTATTGTATTAAATTATAATCGGAAAGTAAAGGAAACTAAGAAATTTGCTCGCATATAAATATCAAAAGAAATAAAGAGACGATATAAAATAAGAATTTAACATCCAAAATTTACTGTAACGTAGAATATACTGTAGTCACATATTTTTGATAGGAACTTCAATCAATTCAAATCTGACTACTAGACATATTCAAAGTATACAAACAAATACAAACATTTTATGTCTCTGATGTGATGTTGTTATTTGTTTAATATGGCCTAAATAATTCGAATAAAGTGTCAATGAATTATAAAAATTTGAGACTCAGCATTATAAAATGCTTATAGATACCTTCATATTAGAGTAGTAAGAATCGTTTAACAACCGACTTATTAAACACCCATTGTAACCAATCATTGTTCATTATCATTACAGCATTTTCCATTCTCTTTGTTGTTTATTGGCGTTATTAAAAAGGTACCCCTGTTGACTCCCATCAGATCTGTGACGTCAACACAGCCAATCGAATGAGCGCTGTTAATAATTTTATCAACTCCTCTTGAAAACGTTTATAAATCACGGCTTTAGATATAAACTTAAAACTTTGGATCATCGACATCTAAAATAATAAATTAATCAAATAATGGAATGTAAATCAATTCCCTCATACTGTTCAACAAACTTGCTGATGTTGAAACAACATGGACCTTAATTATATAATTTTGGTCCTAAGTAAGGCCCTTGTGTAAATAAAATAATAAGATATTTGTGTAAAGTGAACTACTACCAGCGGCTCTGTTTGTAAATAGCTTCTTTAGTAACTAAATTACGCAGGCGTACTGTTGATCACATATTATTGTTCAGTGCAAATGTAAGAAAGAACTGTTATTAATGAATGTGATTATGAACGTTTTTCTAGACCCCGTCCACCGATAGCCTGCGATTGACGCAAAACTGGGGTCAAAGCGCGACGCTCCGACATCCGAATTATTCGAAATAATCTAAATTGAGTTCACAATGGAAAACAACATCGCGCCAGATAGCAGGGTGGGAGACGATAAAGCTCACGGCGGGGACAAGTCACCGGATTGCATAACGTGCGAAATCCGTCGATTATTTTAACGTACCGTCGATAATTCGCCAATATAAAGCCAGAGGCGCTTTCACCGGGCATTGGGTTAATTAACGTTAGGTTTCTCGTCGCCAACGACTGCTTGAAAGCACCTTTATCAGCGCCCACGACGTGGCAATTACGCGACAGTCAAAACAGAGAGCCGGTTGCAATCGGGCAGCAAGGTCTCAATGTCAACTGACCGTACACACGATTAAATCCAATCTAATGTTGCAACGCACCAAAGTTACTTGATAAACCGTCAGCGCATGACTTTACGTACACAGATAAGCGGCCGACACGAATGCGGTCTAGAAACTTTTGTTTTGTAACGTCTCGAATTCGGGGCGGACGTGACTTTCCCTCGTGTCTCATTTGAGCACAATTTCTCTAAAGACCTACAGCTGTAATGTCGTCGTTTAAGTCAACTTTCCTATACTTTTCATTTATGAATAATCACTGGTGCCGTTGGCATGTCCCTAGCTCCCCTCAAGGGGAACGACTTGCATCGGCGTGACTACCTGTGTTTTTTATCCCGCATTCAAAGTCAAAGCCCCGCTTACTTGGGAGCGGTCTAAGGGCAATGCACCTTCCCGCTCTCCCTTGCCCTGCAGCCCTACTTTGGCTTTAGAAGCCGAAAGTGCAAAACGCATGCCTCCCTCCCATTTGAGCGACTGCAATTGTTTGCCGGAAAGAGATGCAGTCCGGGCGTCTGCTCCGTACGAGTTAACCATAGATCCAGCTGTGTGTAAACGTCCATAGCAACCGTGCGTCGCATTGCATTCACGCTATGTGGACTTTGAACCAATATTGATGGTGAAACACATCGCGTTGTCTCCCTCGTATTTATCAGCATCGACGGGATCAATACGGGCTGACCGTACACCATAGCGACCGCTGCTCTGTACGAAACCTAACTATGATGTGTGCCGATAAAACTGATCGTATTGCAATGATATATGCCACTTTATTGCTTGCGTCAACCTCTGTAGGGTCTGCTGCACCCACCGTTTAATTTTTCAACGAAAGAATAACGTCGCCATGGCGGAAAGTAAACATCTGGTTTCCACTCACAGCCGCCGTTGGGAAATCATTTCGGAAGGTTTGTTTTAAACGGTGTAGGTGAGCGGGACAAACCAACGGTGTGGCCGCCTATGCGTCATTGGTATTACGATGCGAGAGTGGCGTCGCTCGCCCGTTGGTGGCTTTTCGCGGAAAACGGTCGAACAGCCGCAATCGAACCCTGCCCCCCTCACCTCACCCCCCTGGCGCCGCGTCAGCCGCCGCCGTATAAAAGCCCCGCGCGCCCCACCACTCCAACTCAGACGCATGGAGTACTCCGTAGAGGTAGTTTGGCACGAGCGAGCGCTTTGCTAGGCACCTGCCGGCCGCAACTAAACTCAACATTCTAGTCACCGCGTAGCCCTAGCTCGCCCGCGCGGAACGCGCGTTCCTACGAGCAGTGATATGTGCAATAGCCTTTAGGGAGGAATAAATAAATAATTAATTGTGATATTTAGTATTAGTATAGTCGCGCGTAACAGGCTGTGAGTGAGAACTGTGAAATGTTGTGACTGCCCGACTGGAACCTGTCGCCCGTTATCCAACCCAGTGCGTTCGGTTATTATTGCGTTGGCCCCACCACCGGCACGATGGTCGGCAACAACGGTACCATGATGGCGATACGCATCGTTCACAGCAAGCTGCGCAAGCGGGAGGAGCACTCCGCATCGGTGCATCCCGCTGAGGTGCTCCAAGCTGCCCCTGCTCAGCCAGAGCCCCTCGCCTTCCGCCAGCAACCGCTGTGGCAATTCCCACCGCCGCTGCCACCGCCTTACGTCTATCCGCACGATCAGGTCAGTACCTACATCAAAAACACCTTCACCGTCTCAATACTAGACAGACTGAAGCGTAAACATCAAGACAAGACAAGGCGTGTTAACTTGTGTTACATCGAATGTTTAACAACCGAGCAAACGTTAGCGATACAAAACAAACTCGACCCACGGTCGGCCGTATGAAACGCGAGTTGGTTACGTTAAAACTGAAACCAGTTGCTACTCATACTTGACCCCGATAGTTTTGAGCGCGCCCGGCCGCGTTCACTTTTCAGTCCGATGGAAAATTGAATTTCTAACAATATGGAAAGTTGTTCGACGCGACGAAGAAACCGTGACTAGCCCCGGCGAGAGCCGACGCGATATCTATGCGCGAAATAAATTTAAATGTCGGCACACGCTCGAGTAGAAAGCCGCACAAGGCGAGCGTGTCGCAACCGATCGGCCTTCTTTCGTACGAACAAAGAAGGCCAGCAGAATAGGGGCCTGCACTTCGAAAACCTGCACTTCGCGAATCTAGCCTCACTTCACCATGCCCACGTATGGAACACGCTGGACGTTGTGTACAGATAACCGTGCTAGTGTTACGTCAGCGCGTACGCCCGACCACCCATATCGAGACGCCGCACCAGGAAACGCCGAATGCTAATGCACGCGGCTTTGAACAGTAACCAAGGCTCGCTACATACTCGCGCGGCCTCAACATCATTATACACGGCTAACTTCCTAGACGGCCAGTCTTAAAAACGAGACGTCTCTTAATTTTTTTTTCTCTGTAATGGCCTGATCCTCCCGCGCTTTTTATGCGCCATTAACATAAAGACAGAGTATTTTCGAAGCGCTCACAAAAAACGTCCCGCGTCGCAACGGACCCGACGACGTTTCACGCGACCTTCTAACATTCATTTGCGGCCGATTATTATCGTTACCACGACGTATTGTGTAACGGCTAGTAATAATATACCCCGGAGCGTCCGTTAACTGGGTCTTAATAGTCTAAGGACTGAGAGCAAATACATCAATCAATAAAACTGGATCTGTTGTACTAAAAGCCCTTTCTCTGTTTCTAGGACAACTTAATGCAGCCCATCGGTAACGAGAGAGCTAGTTTCCGCAGTCTGCGCAAGAACATCGGCGGTCGCTGGAAGCGACTGGTGAAGAAGAAGCCCGAGCAGGAAGTGTACACGATCCCTCCCGAGCTGAAGCCGCAGCTAAAGCAGATCTACGTGTACTAAACGGCTGCCGAGATGCAGCACGTCGCAGCGAGGAGGCAGGCATCTTCGACGCTGACTTATGACCTCAACCACCCAGTGGTTGCAACAGATCCATATCGTTACTCGAATATCAGTCAATTTTTTTTGTAATATATAAAAACAACCAATAGCCTGGTAATGTTGCCAACGTGAACATATCGTTTCGACCAATTAATTCTTACGTCGTGTAGATTCCTTTCGTTCAGCACTTTGTTGTGATTATATTAAAAAAAAACTATATTCGTATTATTAAGTATTAGAACGCTGGTGTCTGTGTTGTTCCGTTGCTGTATTTGTGTGTGAAATGTATGAGTGATAGTCAATGAATTTAGTTTAATTAATTTAATGTAATGAATGAAATTAGGAAGATGCGGTCGCGCAAACTAGTGACGAAAATCCAATAATTATTTTAATGATTAACGACGATGCCTTGTTGAATGTAACATTATTGACTAATTAGGGCATTTTGTAGTTCATTAACTTATTATAGAAGTGATTGTAAACTTAGGTGAGAGCCGATCAAATTGTGCGGAGGTCATACGTGAACGTGTGTGCTTTCCGAGAGTTACAATGGATTTTGAAACGTGTAATATGAAACCATAACTGACGCAGTATTTTTATATCATTCGTTTATGTTGTGAGTGAGACTGAATTATGGTACAATTTTAACGTAACGTTGAATATTACAAGATGAAATTATTTTCCGATGTTGTTGAATGTTTTGCAATCGAGCGCGGTAGTCGAGACACGAACGCTCTGCTGATATGACCAAACATTGCGATGTTGCGTTGCGCGCACGCTGTGTAGTGTAATATCATTTCTGATTTTCCTCCCGGTCTTTGCCTACTGTGATATCAAAGTGAATTAAAAGAAATGTGAAAATATTTGCGCCTTTTCAATTTACTTCCACTTTCCAACTGTGCCTTATCAATTTTGCAGTGGCGGAGGCCGCTGGACGAAGATCTCCATTTATAGCTCATATTGAGCCCCCTACGTCGATGTTTGATAGTTAGGTACAATAAATACAGCCATGATTATAATATTTTTCCCCTTCTATTCTTAATCTATGCCGGTGAGTGGCAATGGCATTGACAGTGATAATGTTAAGGCGTGCGAAGTTCTTTTGTTTAGAAACTGTAATCTTTCATTAACATAATGAAAAATAAATTCCATCGAAATAAAAATCTTGCAATTTTCTTTACTAACCTAAAAGTAATACAATTCAAAGAGAAACGGTTCAAGTGTAATTTGTAAACTTTCTTAACTTTCTACTCATTCAAAGAAAAGAACTTGTTTATGCGAGTAACGTAGGCATTCATAGAATTTTTACATGCTAATCAGTTTAATAGTATTAATGAGACCCGGATAAGAAATTCAAATAAGTTTTCCAATTTTATAACGATTTTGTCTTTATTTAATTTTGAAGTTTTGTCGATAAGCAATTGGGTTATTAAAAATAGTAAATAGCGCCACATATTGTCGTTGCAAGAATCCTGTTGAAAATTACAATGACATCTATGTTTATTTCTTATAACTAAAACGATGTTTCTTATTAGTTCCTAAAGTTACATTGGTCCATTGGTACGGTTTGACAGTTTTTATATACGACATCTAGCGGAGACATTTGAAATTTCTGTAACATATTGGATGGCGCGGTACGTTGTATTTTAGTGGTTTAGGCATCAACCTGAAGATGTCACTAAATACATTTTTCATGTAAAGAAAAATAAACAAAGATTTTTTTCGGAATCTCATTTGAATCATAATTAATAAAGTATAAAAACCTCTATTTTTTGGTTTCCTTTTTACATATTCACATAGTGCGGCCATCGCCTGCCTATTGGTCAAATGAGAATGAAGAAAGTGTTATGCACGTAATAAAGATAAACTATAATATATTTATGTATTTGAACAGGCATAAATTGTTTAATGAAACAAAAACCTGACGGTACTAAAACTACGTACTATTCCTCTACTTTTGTAAAGAGAACGTACAGAAAATACGTACGTCCGGGGAACTAACTTGGCCGCGACATATATTTCTAGTAGTAGACTAATTAATTTATTCTTCTGCATTTCGTCTTCGGAATAAGGAAGCCCACGTTGATTATGCATTAAATTCATTTTTCAATCACAAAATTAATATCTTTATAACACTGACGCTAGTCCGACTGAAGTGACATTAGGAAGTCTGATGTCTCAGTCCGTCTCATGAGCGTGAATGTAGAGAGGTTGGAAAGTTTAAAAGTATTCTTTGGACGGAATGAAAACTATTCGAAGTGGCGCGTCATGGCGAGTTTTATTGTCTTTTTAGCTCCTTCTAGTTTACATCTGAACATATTAACTAATTCATTAGAAGACGCCGGATGGAGGAGTACGCGAATATTATACCTACCGAATAAAAAAGGGTTAGACAAAACCACAGACGGGACAAGTCGGATAAACGATTTTCCGTTTAGTTATAACTGAAACAAGGGTCATGATCGCGTACCCTCTCTATACGTACAGGCCCCGTATTATTGACCCCAAGTTTAAAATTTAAATAGCCCGGAGAGACGCCCGCATGTCGTAAGACCGCAAGCGTCTCCCTTTAAGAGATTAAGTGCAACCCTTTGATGTACTACGGACTTTATGTACTTTAATTAACACGGACAGGCTCTACTCTTGCGCGTCTTTAGAATTCACTAGCTTTCCACGCGGACCCGTTCGCGTGGACTGCAGAACTTATTTGGTCATCGTAAAGAAATCACTACATGTCAAAAAAAATCCCCTCGCCCGCCTCCGTCTGTCTGTTTTAAAGCGATAAGCTCGTAAACCACTTCACAGATTTTCAAACCTTTTTCACCAATAATAAGGTATAGATGTGTGATAAGGTTTTGTGTAAGTTGGAATATGACAATGGTTGCTGAAGACGTCGGATTAATCATGCCGCGCGGATAAAATTCGGCGGGTAGCGGCAAAAATGACGGCGTATTACTTATACATACAGGAAAAAAATGTTATATTAAAAAAAAATCCAAATCGGACGACCGGTATTCGAGTTTAAGTCGGAGACACGCTATTTATTTGTATAAGAAAATACAGCTTACAAAAAATGTATTAAACTGATACAAACATAAACTCATTATAGTTTTAACGCGCCAATATCCTCATTCATCTATACATAGTTACTTACCAAGAAAACCATAACAAGAGTGTCATTTTAACGAAGGTAATTTAGAGAATTAATAAAGTTAATACACTTGCTAGATACTATTATAAGTGAGCGAACATTGGTGACCGCACTGGTCATCTTTATCAGTATAAAAACATAGTGGCATAAAGCATTTTTATTATGTACGACATGCATAGATAAGATAGAGGTAGGAGCATTAGCACATTTTATTTTTGTAGCAGATTGGCTAGCGCCTGATTTCTATCCCATTTGATGATAAGTCGTGATGCAGTCCGTGCCATTGATGAACTTACTAGATCATTTGAAGTTCACACTTCATCATCATCTTCATTTCAGCATGTTATTAGTCCACCGCTGATGTTTTAATAATTATTGCGCGGCGTTAAATTATTCCACTTTACGTTATATTATAACAGTATAAAACAAAGTCGTCCCGCTATCTGTCTGTCTCTATGTTTGCTTAGATTTTTAAAACTACGTCGTTAGGTCGCTAGTGATATATATAACAGAATGTAACAGATGATATAGAGCGATTGATACGAAAAGAGATAGCAGTCTATAGAAATGCAATCTAATGACACCAATTGGTGAGCTAATGTCTGACATACCTACCTCGTATGTAGCCATATAACTGCCATGTATTACTATAATTACGTCACACTGATGCTCGTTAAGACGAAATGGATATCTTATTCCTATCCACAGCCCCTAGACGATATAAGTAGGCAAATTACTGAGTTCGCTCCCAAAATCTATGAGGGCGAAACCCGTCAAAGAGCGGGATCAGCACAAGAAGAATTACTGGCAAAATCCATTTTTCATAGGGTTCAAATTAAGTAAAGTGTGATAAACTCTAAACATTGATGTAAATGAGTACGCTCAACCAGGTAACTGAGTAAAATATTATCCACTTGACCATGAATCATTCGCATTAAACTAATTTGAAGATTCACGTATATTTTATATAAGAGATTAACTGAGTCACACAGTTCGATTGCTACGGCGCTGGCGATCGTTGGTTCGATTCCCTCGTGGCATAAGTATTTTGTGAATTTGCGATAACTGTTCCGGATCTGGGCGTTTGTTAAGGAGGGTTTATGTCAGGTGGCTGGGCTAAAAACCCAGCCGCCTGAACCAGTATTGATAACATGATTTACATGTTATGCCGCCCAAACTAGGTGGGATAGGGACAGGGGGACTTACAGCAGCCGTGAAATTGTGAAGACGTTCAGCAAATTGACTAAGTTCCACAATTTGCTACACAAGTCGCACTGCTGGGCAAAGGCCTCCTCTGTACAGAGGCACTAGGGCACCACGCATAGCCCACCACGCGGCCCCACTGCGAATTGGCGGTCTTCACATGTTTTCGAAACATTTTTTTAGTTATTATTTCGAAAATATGCAGGTTTCCTCACGATGTTAACCTTCACCGCTGAGCACGTGATAAGTCAGCACTTATAATTGACAATTTCACTGGTGCCAGCACCGGGATTCGAACTCAGGTTGCTCGAGTGTATTGAATTTAAAGCGAGCGGCCAGTGACAATGAGCTATAATATCATCATCATCATCATCTGAGACATTATAGCCGCGGGTGGGCCTTAGCCTGTTCCAGCAAATCTCTTGGCTTTGTTACTCCGGTGTATAACCCCCAAGGTCTTGGTGTCCTTTTTGAAATGAGCTATAATGGCTCTAAAAAAACATCAATTCTTTAGAGCCCAATGGGCTATAACGGCTCTAAAAAATTGCTAAGCGAACCTAACACCGGATCGAGACGATCACGAGCGCGTAATTCTGGTTATCCG